GCAGCAGCAGCAGGATCGGGGGTGCTAAATCTCCCTTGGTTCAAGGTTTTCCAGGGTCACTGTTGTGAAAGGCACCCTTAAGAGACTGCCATTTGCTACCACGAGCAGAATGTATTGAAGGGTGAGGGCGAGAAGGGTGACATGTGGTGTGTGTGGGCATTTATCCTGATGGATCAAACTTGGCAGTGGCAACAGATAAATATTTGGCATATTTGACTGAAATTGTCCACAGCTGCTAACTTCTGCCAGAATTAGAAATTTTTAGCGGTGGCTGCTGGAATTGGAGAAGTCGGAGTGAGTGAAGTGAGCTGAAGTCAAGGAGCTGTGTGAGACTTGCAGATTTCCACCTTAGCAAGAAGTTTGTTGCTCCTGAAGCCCTGGGTGCAGTGCTGAGCATTGGGCTCCACTGCCTGCGTGTGGCACCACTTGCCTGTGATGTTGGGTAGTCCAGCTGGCAGGACTGCAGTCATCCTGACTCTGCTCACCTCCAATTTTGTTCTCATCAGTGATCACAAACAGAAGGAATCTCTTTGAAACTTGTGCCCAGCACTGTGCAATTACTGACTCGCTCTGTGAGCTTTATAGTGCTTTTGAGATTTGTTAGCTTAACGAGTAACTTCCAAAATATTTAGGGACAAGAGAAGTGTGGTTTTACAGGAATGTGAACTAACTGGAAGCACTAGTGGTTGTCTCTACAGGAACAAAACCAGTTAACTAGTACACAAAGCTCTTCAAAGGTCACGGGGATCTCCAAGAAGCAAAACTGCAATGATAGCATTTTAAGGCATGAATTTATAGCTGATTAATCATTATAATATACGAAAGGTGCTGTCTAACAATCTTCTGGGCAAGTACAGGTTATGCAAGCAACTGGAATAACTGCGTTGTGAGCTGCAGGCCAGCCCACAACATGTGACTCCTTTGGGCACATTTGTGCCACCTTTGACAAAGGGGAATAAAAAAACTTAACGTTCCATAGTTTTACCTGATTATCTAGAATCTGCCTAAATCTCTTGGGCTGGATCCCAGACTTTTCTTAGGCCAAGCTGTGACTGTGTTTGGTGGACCTGAGAGGCTTGCATTTAAGACTGGACAATTCCCAGCATTACAACATGCTTGAAACGCTCTTGCTCAAGCAGGAGGATTGCTGCATGGTTGTTAAATGAGATTGCCAAGATCATCTGAGAGAAGCCGTTTGTGCGTTTCCTATACTTAGTTTCATCTCCAGCAGGCTCTACTTCTCTTGAAACGTGCGCCCTTCCCTTCTGCAGATTTTGTGCCCTGCCTCTTGCCTCAGTCAGAAGAGGGAAAACGGGTCTGAGGCTAAGGAAAGTGGTGGCTTTACATGGAGCGAGGAATACAGACTGGATGGGACAAGAGGTGATGTCCAGCCCCTCTACCATCAGCTTAGGGGGAAGAATGTTTGCAGGCAGGGGCTGGTCCTTCAAGCTAAGGCAACAGAGAGTGCCTTGGCCAGCGTATGAGCCCTGCCGTGGCTGCCTGGAGGTTTCTGGGTGTGGAAGTGCAAGTCCTGGCCTGTGTGTCGGGGCGACAGAGAAGCTGTCACGGGAAGATGGATCGGGGCAGACGTGCTCAGGCGTGGGTGTGCGTCGCTCGGCCGTCCGAGCAGCGCTGAGACGTGGCTTCCTCACGTAGCAAGGTACACCTTCTTTCATTCTCTCTCCCCACACCACCACCTTGTTTGTTTTCTTAGTTTTTTTTAACTTCCAGTGTTTCTCAAATGGCAAGAGAGCTTCCATACTGTCCCCTGTCGGGAGCTCCTAAATAACGCAGCCGTCAAGTCACAATTTAGTGCACGAGTAATGAAATTCATAACCTGAGTTTTCTATGGTGGCATTAACTGTGACACAGATTCATCACTGGTCTATCATCATTAAAAGGCAGTGGAATTGCATCGGGGATTGATGTGATCATATGCATGTAAAGATCAAGATACAAAAAGGTGTGATTTATGTAACATAAGCATAAGCTGTAATCCAAAACCCTTCCCACATGCGGTGTGACAGTTCCTGTTCCCAGAGCAGTGATGGCTTTTAAATTTACTGGGTAGATGTATGTGTTTATATGTTTTTATTTAACTCTTTTAAACATAGTATTGTCGTAATATTTTTCACTTTTTTTTTTTTTTCTTTGCGTTGAAATATATTTGTAGTTGAATCTGCACAGTAGTTCAATGTTATTGAAATTCTTTATATTTTTGGAGCCCGTGTTGTGTGTCAGCACTTTATTGTGTAATCTTACAGGGGACATAGGAACACTGCCATGTCTGATGCAGCCATAGCGAAGACAAACGTAGGAAATATAAAAAGTGTACATAAAGCAAGAATATAAATGTTATCCTGATTTTACAATTATTATAAAAGCTATCAGAACCACAGGAAAAAGGTAACAATGAACAAAAATTGTTCTTAGTTTCCAGGGCATGTTGGTTTTCCTCTTCTTACCTTTTACTGGTTCACACCCAAAAAAGAAAGAGGACTGAGCTGGGACAGTTTGGTGATGTGGACTGACCAATAGCTGTCCCTGTGGTGGCCTTTGGAGGGGAAGGGACTTCAGGTACAGCTGCAGAAGGAGCTGTTCAGGGGTAGTACGGGAGCGTGGCACGGTTCCTGCCAGCGTTATCTCCTGATCTCTGGGAGCTCTTGGCAACTGCTCTGTAGCCTGGCCTAAATAACATGTTTGTCTTCCACAAGGATTTCAAAGCTATTGAGATAAGTAGGTACTGAGGCCGCCTGTTTGGCAAATTTGTCAATCAGCTCATAGAGCTATAAGTAGATGAGGCTTTATTACAAAGGCTTATTGCTCTTTGCAGTTGTGTAGGAGTTTACATAATTTTAAAAGGAGGTCTTTTGTCTCCTAAGTACAGTGATGATTAGGATTTACTTCTGGAGTGTGGTAGCAGTTTGGAGCACCCGAGATGCACATGTTGGTGCTGGATGTTTTTTCAATGAGAGAGACCACGCTTGTGCTCTGCCCTGGGGTCCAGCAAACAAGTCAGGGCATTGGCTTTAGGAGAACATTTGTAAAAGGAAAGGAGGGGGACATCCAGTACCACCTCTTCTCCCAGCCTGACTGTCTTGTAGCATTGAACCTTCACAAGAAACTACCTTTTCAGTCCACCTTTCCTGACCTCCTTTGAATCTGTGTTACTCCAGACACCAGGACTGATGGTGTTCGAGGTTAGGCTTTAATCGAGTGGGGTGCTCAGTGTCCCAGCCCCGATCCAGCAAAGCATGAAACTGACTTCAGTGCATGTCTACTCACACAGTTATAGTCAGGTTTATCCTTAAAATATCTACTGGATTGGGGTCAGAGTTTTCTCGCTCGCAAAGTCAAACCTTCAGTGAGAAAACCAGAGCCCTTCATCTCATGGAATATATGCCTAATGGCCTGTGAAAGACCAACAATAATTCACTACATCTGCCCTCTGTTTTCTGTGGTACATACTGTGTTACTGGCGTAGATGCTCCTGATTCGGCTGCTTTCCCGTCCCACCATTTTCCCGTGTCACTCAGTTTTCTCTTAGAAAGGACACCCAGAGGGAAATGAATCCAACTGCATGTCAGTTGTTGAACAGATACTATAGGTGAGGCTGAATCATCACCTCTTCTTCCTTCTGAAACATTCAGCATTTGCCCACTCTTTGTGGTGCACAGGCATGTAGGAAGCAATGACAGAAGAAATTGAGATGGGCCTAAGGAACCCACAGGGGAAAAGAGCTGGCATGGAGGTGGCTCTGAGCATCTGCCCATTTTGCTGTGCTTCCCTCCCTGTGGCACAGATGGATGTGCTTTCTGGGGTGGGACAGTACACATGAGAATCTGCAGATCTCTGGCCTTCCAAAATCCCCTGCCATGCTCACATGTGCCAAACCCACCAGTCACACCTTCAGAGTTTAGGGCCTTGTTTTAGGTATTACAAGGTTTGAGTGCATGTTAGGATTGGTTTTATTTGTCCAATAAAGTTTAGTCTTCAGGGTGTTTAATATTGACACAGAGTCTTTGGGGAGAGGGATTGATTTTGCTTGGCTTTGTTGTAAAGCCTTATGCATCTGGTTACGCTCAAGACATTAGCTTTAGCTAACAACAAGCCTTTTGATAAAATTCACGGGTTCTGGCAATACTGTGGACATAGACTTATCTCCTGGGCACATTCTGTAAAATTAAGCTATTTTCATTAAAAGAACAAAGAGTAGAATGATGATGGAGCAGCTGTCATATTTTATTACAAAACACAAATATGTGGGAAATCAATTACAGCACGAGTGCTGCACAAGGCGTATTTCCAGTAATCCCCCACGGCCGGGGGAAGGTAAAAGGCTGATCTGAGCGCAGGAGCAGATGGCAAGCAACTTCAGATAGCTTCACTGCCATTTTTACTCTTTCAAGTGTTTGTGCTTCTCCTTTGATCTTCAGATCTTGAGTTTAATGCGTTTCATCTTCTTTCATTTACTGTTTTCGCATTTAACTGTCCCTTGAAATAGTTTTTGCTTGGTGGACTTTGTATTAGTATGGGTTTTGTATCTTCCATACTGAGAAATTTAAAAAGAGAGACAACTGATGTCTATTTTTTTAGCGTTGTTTACATCCAATAAAATACCAACTGCATCACTGCATAGGACTTTGCCATCTACCATGCACACCTGTAATGATACAAGGAAGAAATCCCACCTCACAAAGTTACTGAGACACAATGCATGTGAAGTTGCAGTAGGCTTTCTTGGAAGGTAGATACTGTGGGATTGTGATGACACGTCCACAGCAATCACCTATGGAAGTTTGGTTTCATCATTACCCATTAAATTTAATTATAACAGTTAAGTAATTAAGCTTATATTAGTACTCTCTGTGCATGTAACATTTATATCTCCACTTAAAACAGTTTATGTTTAAAGTAAAAGCACTTCTCAGTGAAGTAGAGCAGCAAAACATGAGGTGATCTGAATAACTGTGTGATCTGTGTCTCTGCTTTTTCTGTAGCTGTCAGAAATGATAGGAACAAAAAGAAGAAGGAACCTTCAAAGCAAGAGTCCACAGAAAACTATGAAATGACAGCAGAGTTGGATGATCTCACTGAGAAGATCCGAAAAGCTCACCAGGAAACCTTCCCCTCGCTCTGTCAGCTGGGAAAATACACTACAGTAAGTATGGTTTGTGACACACACGTTCTGGATGATGTGAGTTTTGTACTAGAGGTCTCAGATATTTTAAACAAATGCAGAAGTAGATGCACTCCTTGCAGCTCCTTAGCCATGAAAAAACACAGGTGTGCATGCATACGCATGCTGAGGAAGAGAAATTTCACTTCTCTGTAAACATTACTAGAGTGGCATTGTGAGAGACTGTCTGAAGGATTAATCCAGCTGGGAGACAAGCGTGGGGTCCATGAGTCAATTACATGCCATCATTCATTAAAGATCTGTTGACTTCCAAAGACGTGATCTTTGCTTGTTAATCAGCAGATTACAACTTTGCAGGTCTAGGGTGTTCTTACATGCTGCTGGATTACTGGTGACAGTCCCAAAGCTACCAAGGTCAAGGAAAATATGAAATGTCTAAATAAACCAGTTTCCAAAATGCTCATTTGCAGTTTGTTCCTCTTCCAGCCTACTGAAATATCACAAAGCAGAAAAAAATTCTGCTGCTTTTTAGAAGTGAAAAATCAGCCTCCTGTCAAGAAATTAAGTACTGTGGGAATTTCTCTGGAGGATGAATCAGGGAAGTTTTGTTTTTTTTTTTTTTTCTGTACTTACATATGTTGCTAAATGTAAGGAAGGTAGGTGATATTTATTGATTTCAGAGAGAAAATTTAGTGTCAATTTTGCAAATGCAGTGATAAAAGAGTTGCCAAAAAATAACTGTTTGGTAATGTTTAGAGTCTTGTCAGTAGAGGAATGACTTTGCTGTGTCTGGTCTTGCTGTGAGTTGTAGTGGCACTGGCTGTTTCAGAGGGATGTGCAGACAGTCCTGAAGTCTCCAAGCATGTGCTCCTGCTGACGAGACTAGGAGTTCAGGACAGGAATGGCTGGGATGAGGAGTTAAAGTTTAAGAAAAGCAAGCATATGTGGTGTGATGTTACATAAAACATGTTTCATGTTGCTGAAAGTATTTTCACAAATATTTTTCACATTTATTTTCAAGACCCACATAAAATGATTAGGGCTGGGGAAGGCATCTGTCCTCTGCACGCCTCTCTGGAGCTAACCCTGCTCAGATGAGACGTAGTCAAAACAATCAGCATAGGCTTGCTGGTAAATCTTGCACAGGCAGACCCCCAGGGATTAGCATATCACACCTACCACTGATGCCTTT